CTCGGTGTAATCGAGAAAGAAAATTACACGTCGAACCTGGGAACGACGCTAGAATTACGAGGCGAACGCACCTTCGGTCACGGAATGGGAAAAACGACAAAAAAGAAGATAAAGAAACAGGTAACCGTTAATCACATAAATCTCCTGGTTCGTGTCGACTCCGAACACTTTTCATTAAATTACATTGTCCAACGTTGTTTCCCTTTTGATTGCATGTCGAGATTGCTCGCACACGCTCACGCTTCACCAGGGTGGAGGTACCATTATTGCCATTTCGTAACACCATTGAAAATTCCGTCGACCACTTCACCGACTCAAGTGGAAAAGAGGCAACGAATCTTGAGATATTCTGACGATCGTAAACTCGTCTCCCTCGTTTCTCAATTCTCTACTGACAGTGATAGTTACGTTTCGAATTGCAATTTTAGATCGTAATGTTTAAGATTTACAATTGGCAATAATTTTAATTTGTGAGTTTACTTAAATTTGAGCTAAAGTGGAAAAGAGGCAACGAATCTTGAGATATTCTGAGAATCATAAACTCCCTCGTTTCTCAATACTGTACTGACAGTGATAGTTACGTTTCGAATTGCAATTTTAGATCGTAATGTTTAAGATTTACAATTGGCAATAATATTAATTTGTGAGCTTAAATTTGAGCTAAACTGGAGAGGAGATATCGAATCTTGAGATATTCCGAGGATCGTAAATTGGTTCTTAATTCTGTGAATGGCAATGATAGTTATGTTTTAGATCATAATGTTTAAGACTTACAATTGACAATAATATTAATTTGTGAGTTTACTTAAAGTGGAGAGATATTCTGTAGATCGTAAACTCGTCTTCCTCGTTTCTCAATTCTGTACAATGATAGTTACGTTTTGAATTGCAATGTTCAAGATGGATTACAATATTTAAAATTGGCAATGATTTCAATTTACCTAAATTCCCATTAAAGTGGGAAAGATATCGAATCCGAGATTCCGAGGATCGTAAATTGGTTCTTCATTCTGTAATGCCGATGACAGTTATGTTTTAGATCGTAATGTTTAAGACTTACAATTGGCAATAATATTAATTTGTGAGTTTACTTAAATTTGAGTTTACTTAAACTGGACTCTGAGAGGAGATATCGAATCTTGAGATATTCTGAAGATCGTAGATTCGTCTCCCTGGTTTTCAACTCTGTATTGACAATTGCGTTTTGGATTGTAGTTTAAAATTGTTAATAATCTTAATTTACAAGTTTACCTAAATTCTCGTGAAAGTAGCATGCTTTTAAATTGCTCCGCTTGTGCTCTTCGCTCTTCCCGCTCGTCCTCTTCTTTGACAGAATTCCAGTCCAAACGAGCATTCGTTCGGACTTGATAAATTATTCATCGAATGTTCGGAATGTGAACTGAAAGAACAGTTGACTTTTATTTTATAAATAAAATAAAGGACTGGGAAGGAGGGAGAAGGCGAGTTCTCGTAACTTCGCCCGCGTACGAGTAAGTAATTAGATTTGAAATTTATTTTAATATTTCGCTAATCCTGCGTATAAAGTATATTAATATTCATAACTTTGCCAGAGTCGGTAAGATCAATATTACAGTTTGCTCGGCCCCAAGTGCCCCAAGGCGGTGGTAATATTTCCTGTCGAAGCGGAGCCTTCGGAGTGCGCGAAATTTTCAAAAAGCACGAACTTCGATGGCGGTGGTCAATGTTGCGAAGCAACAACTTGAAAACGCCAGAAATATTGTAAAATGTGAAAACGCGACAACAACAACGAGACGACATGCTCGTCGGAGCATGTTTTTTTCAACAGTGACGTTAAGATAAGATTTCAGGTTGACATGATTAATTTTATGTGACAAAGGCAAAGAAGGATCGATATCTGTCTGCTTCATTTCTTTTCTTTTTTTCTCAGGCTATCAGATCGTACTACATTCTCGTAGAAAATATATATCGTAGCAAATCATCTGAAGATGACAGCTAACCCTCCAGTCAACCAGTCATTATTCTTACCGTTGTTTATGGCACCGTAATCACTGCTATAACCTTCTGCGTCTGACCATTAGGACGTTTCTCTCGTTGATACACAGCGTGAAACTATATCGAAACAGCTGTGTAGCCTGGTAAAGCAATAGAAATAAAAGGCGTTGCAGTGTACGAAAAATACTTGGCAGAAACATAAATATATATTTAATAGAAAGGATGGTCGTGCTTCCGCGTGTTGTAAAAATACTTGTCCTTATTGGGGGTGAAAATTTTCTCGCTGCAGGGATGTGTTCGGATTAAAATAAATCACAGCTGACAGTTACAAATCCATGACTCGTTTATTAAGAAATACTGTATCGTTCCGACAATATCGCGAAATGGTGGTACGAACATAATGTGGTGGTTCTTCAAGCTACGAACGCTTGGACGCAGTCGTCGCAGATGTCACGGACGTCGGTTCCGGTTAACAGCGGGACACGACAGTCGCGCGACATCCACCCGAAAAATCAACGATGTCCACGAGATCGATCACGTGGTGGTTTCGTTCACGTCGCGTAACACACTCCGTCACACACACGTGCATCGTTCATCTGTGTTCCGCGGCTGACATTAGGCGCGCACCCTAACAAATATATATATATATACGAATCTCTCTCGTGTTAAAACAACGCACACAAACGTTTAAGAGAAGCAAGTACAACATCAAAGTTTCATCGGTTCCGTTTTCTTTCTTTTCTTTTCTTTTCTTTTCTTTTCTTTTCTTTTCGTTTCTTTTCTTTTCTTTTTCGTTCGAGGCAGTGTTTACATTTCAGGGGGAAGGGGTTAGCCTGCCCTGATCATAGCCTCCCTGTCTCGTTTCGCGGTACGCGTCAGGTCGAGAAGCATCTGCAACCACCGCCAACTGAGCAAATGCCGGAGATCCGTGAAATCTCGAGTGAGATCGAACACGATTCGTTGAATGCTGCTGGCCGATGATCGGCCACCTCGGTTCGATCCGGTGTGTTACACGTCGTAGCAGAATCGAGCGGAAACCCATCGCGAGACGTTCCCATTATCTCGGTGAATGTCCCGGAAACCGATTCGCGTGATGACGACAGAGAGAAGACGTGGACAAAGAGGCAGACACAGAGACAAAGTGAATGGCTGCGGTACATATCGTATACGCTCCCTTCCCTTCTCTATCCACGCTGGCAGTCGATCACGATTTTCGCGCGAGCAATCGTCCGCCGTCGACGGAGAGCGCGTAGGAGAGCGTTCGGGGGAGCTGCGTTCCGGGCAGTCGCAGTCGCAGTGGCAGTGATCTGTCGCCGGGTGATGGTACGGATGGCAACCTACCGGTTCCTCAGCAACTGCGCGCAGACCAGCAGGACGAGCAGGTGCAGCGCGAAGTAGAGTCGCGGCGTGGATGGGCCGGTGGAAGCGAGCGCGTACGCGTACGACGAGTAGCATTCCCTGTAGGATTCCGGATTCAGCCGGGTCACCGTGCAGTAATGGTGAAGGGCGCAAGCTCCGTTCAGCGGTCCTCCGCAACCCCAAATCTGTTCCACTTCCCGCGGCAACGAGACCGTGTTGGCCGCGTAGTATCTGTGAGGGAATGGAAGCGGTCCCGCGTGCGCGGAAAGATAATCTCTCTCTCTCTCT